GACACATAACGAAGTTATAGAGTTTCAGTAACTACGACGAAAATAGCTCTACTCAAATTTATCAGTGTAGCCGTATTGTGCGGCATACATAGAGAATCAATATCCTGCGCCAAATGAACGCTTGGGCAGTAAGAGCCTCAAACACACACATGGTTTGCATTATTATTTAATCAAGTTATGCATTTTTAGTACCTTGTTATGTTACGAATGAGTTAGTTCGCACGTGATTGTGTGTGAGATTCGTGCAAATTGTGACTCTTGTTATCATCTTGTACGTTTTGTGTGTAAATTATGGCGCGACGCTTGAATTGACTTCTAAAATTATGAAACATTGAGGGTACAGCAAAAGCGAATGACAGGAGCGCTACTGACCTCGGTGTTCACCTTCATGGTTAGTCTTGTCCAACTTCTTCTTCCCAAATAGATTTTTTGCTTATTTAAATTTCTAACTTTTTAATAACAGTAATGGTAAAAGCCCCTCAAGCCCATAGACTGCACTGTGAACAGCTATTCATTTGAGATAGCCCAACTCTAACAGATGTCTCCAGTGTTTTGACCGTTCGTGCATATGTCATCATGGTCATTTCACCACCCCCATTCATCTATAGCGTCATCCTATTTTAGACCCATCCGTTGCCCTCATTATGGTTCAAGGGATGGGCTAGCACCCGATCGAGTAATGGACAGTGTGCTCCGGTTCGCTTAGGTAGCTATAGCTGCCCTTTTGCCGCAGCCATCGCTAGATCTGATTACTCCTGCTCCGATCACCTTGACCGTGGGTACAGGAGATCTCTCGTGATTAACCACGATTAGCAGCACCCAGCCAAGCCCACACGTCACCCCACATTTCTACTAATGAAAATTACGTTTCTCCCCTTTACACTCACGAACTAAAGAACAAATAAACGCTGTTAAAGAACTGTCAATACCAGTATTAGCAGGGATAAAGGCCGGCAGGGTCGCCGTGCGTCCATACGGACGCGCCTACCAACAGGCCGACAAGAGCCATCGCTATCATTGTAGCTGTCATCATTGAGAAGTAATCAAGGTGGGCCGTTGCGGCCCAGCACGGCCCAACCCACCTTTTCACCTCCTGTTAAAGTATCCAACAATGCCCCCGTGTTAACGGGCACTCTCTGTCACGCTGCCCCACCGACAGGAATATCGGAACAGAGGGCACAAAACAAAGGAATCCTTATGCACTACTCCTAAGTAAACAGTGTGCGCGTCTAGGATAGAATATAATCATGTCTCGACTCCTCGAAACTGTCGACGCGGTCCACCGCTGTGATGCTGGGGCACCCTACTTAGATGACCTCGTAGTTCCTTTGCTAGGGATGTGCGTGGACTCGCTTGCGGAGGATGTTACCGAAACGAACGAGGTCGACGATCGCTCACTCGAAAGGATAACCTGTGCGAATATCCGACCTTAAGTACCCACACTTTATTGTATTCCTACATAGAGGTAAGCGAAGAAAATGGCGAATTTAGTGGCTACATAACTGAAGGAGTCGACAGAGGCTAAAAGAAGCAGAGGCCTTCGGGTGACTTGAACGATAACAACGAGCAGCGGTATATCCTAATATTTCTTAAATCCCAATAATTTGAATATATATATATATATAGGCATTTAAACAAATGTTTGCATGTAGTCTTCTATATGTTTTGCATCGAATTTTTCGAATAGTACTAAATTGATACATAGTAATAGTGACACTAAGAGTTATATCATATCACAGATTACGATATCGTAGGATACCTCGAAATCGAAATCGCTCGAATGAAGATGTATTTTACTTTATATTATGCAGTAATTAATACGTAGTATCAATAAAAAATGAAGTTCTAATAACAATTGAATTGATTGAACCTGCACTTCAAGTAGACTTGCAGATCTCTAATTGGAGATTAAGAGGAACTTACCGCTTGTGTCCAGTGAATCCTGCAAATGGCCAATCCTCATCTCAAGCGCCTCGTGTCTGTTTATGCGATGAGGTAAAACTGTGTAAAACTTCAATACTATAGAGGATATTAAACTGAAGTTGCAATCGCAGCTGACATCGGTTAAGTACAAGCTTAATGACCATTATCGACAAGCCGCCGCTGTATGCTACCTAGTACGCGTAGTAAATGGTTAAGTGGAACGAGCATTTGCGGAACAAATTCGGATAAGGGGCGCGACCACTACGCCTCCTCGACGAGCACGTAGCCTGCAACTTAGTATAATAAGATAAGCTATCTAGTGCGCCCCCTCCTCTGATGCCGTCGCTCGTTTGCCTTAACGGCAAAAGATCGTGTTTCAATAGAAGGACCATACAAAGGTCATTTGCATCGGTCTGCGTTTTCCGACTGCATATACATAGGACGAAGCCATCCGTACAATTATAGACCAATCTAAATTATGACCATTTGTGGTATTACCTGTGCCACACTAATGTACTACACAGCCTAGTCAACTAGAAGGACGATGACATCAATAATTGTACAAAACACCATACAGAAATAACAACGTACGATTTTTAGCCAGATTTTATGAATTATATATAAAACATAGCTAAATATTTAGGGGATCGAAGATTAATTCATTTACTAACTAATTCAATGCCGCTGGCAGGCTCTAGCGCTAATTATTAGTCAGAGATAATCTCGCGCGGGGGTTATCGTACCTCATTGTCGCAACTCCGTACATGGAACTATTGTACTACGATATCGTAGCATAAGGCCGACAAGACAAGAGGGGTAGGGAGTGTTAGATTAAACTATGTGGTGTGAAAAGCGCATGTTACTCGTGCTATCTCAATGCCACGATTGCGCTGAATGTTCGGAGGTTTTGTTGGTGTGTGCATATGCAGATGTGATCTTGTCTCTATCTAGATAATGATTGTGAACGTTCATCATTGAAAAACTTTTTCTATAGTCCCACATATCTCTTCTCTTATGGGACTTGGTAGCGTTCTTTTGGGGCAGAGTGCTTAATACGAGCGTTTGAGAGAAAGAAGGGATTATGGCTTTTTTGATTGTTCGATTTTTTTTTATCTTAGGATTAAAGTGCCTACGCTTGGCCTAAATGTAAAGCGCCTTAAAGCGACAATTACACGGTTAGCGTCGTGACAGTACTGGACGCAACACGATTTATTCAACGCAGTGTCTGATACCCAGCTTGACTGTTTTTCCTTTTCTGCCTATGGCCTATCGTTATATATATAGTACTTTGATAATTTTCGATTTTTATCAGCAGATTTATTTTTTCCACCTCCTGCTTTTCATAAAATTAGGTTCTATGACCACCAATCGTTGACTCATCGATGGACAAGGGTAAATCGAAGAAGGCTGGCGTATCTGATGCTATTATTTTCGTTAAACACGTAATTGTTCAATACTTATTTTGCTCCCAGCCTTATAAAGCCGTTCGGAGCTTCGTAGTGCAATTTTGTGTACAAGACTTATTGCTGCTTATTAAAAATACCTAGACCGCTACTCATTGCAATTGAGTCAAAATCAAAATCGAGTCTAAAGTCGAAACAGGAAGACATCAAATCGAAGCCAACCTCTTCATATCTTCAGTTCTTCTTAAAGCGTTCGTTCCGCAGATACTAGAAAATGCGCCTCGATCACTTATTAAGTGCGAATGTGATTCGTATCCGAAAGTCTGCAAAATTTCATCACTAATTACCGTAACCGTTGCGGAGTCGCTCGCTATTTATTATGAAGAATTAGTCGAGGACACCAGGATACAAAAATTTACATAAGATAAAATTTGAGTACAGACGGTGAGCTTTAGTTTGTTGATAAGTGCTTTGTTTCAGGACTTGACGGTGCCGTCCACACTTGTACGTGTATATCTGTGCCTATCTGTTTAAACTGTATTCACACGTTCATTAAGTTGTAGATTTATTATTAAGAGCTTGTAATTTATTTATGATCAAATACGCAACCACTCATTAACACACCAGACAGCGCACGAAGCTTAGGGGAACGGGGCAAGTTGAGACGAAAGAAACAGGCCTTTGTTGAGCATCTCTGACGTCTGGTTGTCACGGCGCTAGCCGCAGTGGCGGCGTGCCGCACGTAAGGTTTAATGTAACAAATGGTTCTTTCAACCAGTGAGGAAGTCGTGCGCGACCGCAACCCAGCTTGGAAGGCACATGTTTAAACTGAGCGTCGTTCAAGCTTATTGCAGGCCTAACGATGTTTGCAAAAGGTCACGTCCTCGTAGAGAACTCCCTAAAGTATCGTGTTTGTATTAACAGTCTAGTCGCAGTAAATGCAATTGAGCCGCGTTCACAGTTGTCACAGCTTAAGTTCAACTTTACTAGAAATTTCATCCCTGCCTCAATATATATTCTTATATTTATCGATTCGCATAAAATCCATTGCGATGCCAAGCACTTCACCCACCCAGTTCTGATTACTTACTTCAAAAACTTCGTGTAACAACCCATCTGAAGAAACTACGCATTGTATTAATTACTTCGAAGGTGAATGGAGTAACATTTTGAATCGCGCTACCCATTGTTATCATAATTTTTGTTTGTAGAAAATCTGAAGTCTGGACAGCAACATAGTAAAAAACAACTAGAAAATTTTTTCGGAGTTGGGCGAGTTTTCGTGTGCCTATTGCTCGTGACAGAGACTGTTACGCGCCAGTTACTCCTACTGGCCTAATCTTTAGGTGAGAATTGTCCCTGCAGTTCTATGTTGTTACTTTACAGATAAATGCCAACAGAAGCACTTCGTCTATCGCAACTCTACGGGTATTTTTCTGTCAAAATAGATAAAGTTATCCGTAAGAGGCTAGTTTAGCTGAAGTTTGGTGTGAGATACCGACTAATGAAGAGCCGGCTCCCACAAACGACTGTAGTCAGCGAACCTGATCTACATTTCGTACCTTTTTATTATGAATTCTCAATGAATACATGTAAATTTTTCGATTGAAACCAGAACTACTTCATAAAGGTGAATGCCTTACATCGATATTAAATTTGGCAGTATAAACAGACCTGTTTTAAAGTGCCCCAGCCCGCTCATGCCGTTCCTTGGTAGGCACTAGCCGTTAGACGTTTAGCCTCGAACGGCAAAGATTTTCCATATACGATGTACGGGTAAGTCGCGGTTCGCTTCTAGAATGCATATACTTATCCATGTCCACAATGATCGTCGAGAACGAAACGTGAATAGAAACACAGAAAGAAATTATCAAAAAACTCTTTTTCTTGACCTGCCCAGCCCAGACTATTAAGTACCGCTGTTCCCAGCCGTTTTCAATTCGCGTCGAATACCTTCGTCACTTTCTACTGTTTCATTAATGACAGGAACTTGATGAGCTTGCTTAATCTAACCATTTAATGGTTCCCCCTTTCTATTTCTGTGAGTCCGCTTCAGTGTGTCACTATCGTTGGTACCGTCGTTAGTTATAATTAGCGATCGTAGTTTATTGCAAACGAGATAGTCCACCACGCCTTCGATGCAGTGACAGGTAGAAAGCCGGCGTGTTTCAGCACGAAACCATGCGATCGTATATTTCCGTGTGCTAATATATTTGGCGATAACATCACCACATTCGACTAATTACGCTCGCGATCAAGCGTCCGACTCGAACGCGTTCGGGGTCACATTGCTGTCCTACCAGATTGACCCTTGAAGCAGGAGGGACGCCACAGCTGTCGATGGTGTTTTGTCCTAGCTCTCCCTCGCAATTGCGCTACAACAGTAACTAAAACCACTAAGCCTACTGAATAACTCTCTGGCTTCGCTATTTTCGTTGCTTGTATAACCAGCCAAAACGCTGTCAGTAGACTCGTACGAATAAGCATTAGACTAACCTTGGAACAGGAATATAGACAGGCCATTGTAAACCTCGCAACACACGCATCGTGTCCAGATGGGAAATGCGCAGCTCTACTGCGAAGCTACGGTGAGACACGTTCTCTAGATTGCTAGGTTATCTGTAGGAAGAGGGGTCAGGGGGAGTCCGAGAAAGACCTACAGAGACAGGTACATCAGATGTCACACAGTTATCTAGCCAATTGGTCACACAGTCATAGCCTGCATAGAGATACCATTCAAGCTTACACTGCTACGTCACGTTACCGCTGACTGATGGTAATAGTAGTTCTTTGAGATGTCGCATTAAATAATGGCGTAAAAATATGGCCTCATGTTTTGCGACGAGACGTGTACCTACCTGCTGATTCTATGTAAGATAAACTGAAAAAAACAGGAAAGCCAATATGCATACTATTGAAACTGATTTAATAGAACCTTACTGTATCATAATAACGTGTATTGTTTTTTTTACCTTATTGCTTAGGGATACCTGTGCAGATGTAGAGACATGCTGAAAGTCGTGCATATCGGATGGTCACCTGTGACAAGCTGGACCTTTGAAGCTCCTTTCTAGTTAATATGCGTCACAATAATGCGAGTTAACTGGCATATGGAAGCCCGGCCTCTAAATATAATGAGGCCTAGCTGCGGGAGAACGCATACAGATACATCGAATAACTGTTAACGGACGACTCATGCATAGATTATTGTGCCAATTATTTCAGAAGGACAACATAATCCGAGCCAGATATGGCCCACACAGATAAAAATGGCTTGTAAGTCGTTGGTACTTGTTGCCCAATTCATTTTACGTCTGTTCGTTTTATGTAAATCCATATCACATAAAGAACATTTACATGTTCTTTGAAATCTACCTAATAAACCTACGGGTTAAGAATGAATAATGCTTCAATCACAATTGGTAGAAGATTACTAGCCGTAATTTAACTTTAATGCAGGTCTAAGTACGGTTTCAAACTGACTCTGATGGTGCAGACACAGCCAGGTTCCAAATCAAGGAACAGTTAAACTTTTCCCTCTAACGTTTTTCTTTTGTGATGATTAGCTCACTGTTATTTTTGCTCGCCTTGTCTTCTGGTCGACCCTCAGTTAATAATATGATAATTTAAAACAGGAGCAATTCTCTCTGTCCTGTTTGTTGGGGGCCGCCGACTGTGCTATGCCCCCCTACGGGGCCGATCGTTCAAAAAACCAACAAAGGTATAAGAGCCAAGGAAAAAAGAGAGGCTTTGAAGGAAAGCAAAGTCTGGAGTATACATTCTTAATGGTACAGTTTGTCTAAGGTTCGCCGTCGAAGCTCGTGAGCCCTGGCGCGTAAATTACTATGGACGTGATCTCTGTTAAGAAAAATTCCCTTTCGAGGCCCACTGGCCTGTTACCAAGCCATTGCTCAGCAGGCTGTCCAGTGCCTAACTGGCGGCATGACACACGCGATTCTGATCAGCTGGATTTATAAATGCAAGCCTTATCGCATCAGTGCCTCAAAACGAAGAGAAGCAGAGCCATCAATATTCTCTGCATCTTCAAAAATTGAGGAGAAATATCGGAAAGTCAGTTTCGTTTTTTTGTGTACGATAGCTAATATTTCGGTTGTATCTTTGCTCATTAAAAATACAAGCCCATAATCTGTTGTAAGGGCAGTCCTCTGCCGGAGCTCATTTGCTCCGTTTTCACGTTTTCACGTCATTTGCTCCACGTTTCATTTGCGTAAGTATAACTAGCGTTACAACAAAAAACTCACAACCATCTGAACCATATTTTGTGCCTATATTCACCTTATTTGATTATAGGCTATCAGACTAAAGGGAAGAGCGCGCTTCCTTCCCATAGATGTAGGAATTAGCGGCCACGCCATATCTTTTAAAAGAAGGAAGAGCGCTTCTATCGGCTATTGTGTTTCGGAGCAATGAGCGGGTCCGCGCGGCCGCTTCGCGGAACGACGATGCTGTTATCCTTCTCTAGTGAGGACACGTTCCTGAACTGAAAGTACAGTGTATTGCGTAAAGCTTTCCGGACCTGTGCAACACACCAAGTTCCGGGGACGTCGTCACAATGCCCGAAACCGATCGTTGTAGACGTTCTTCTTTGTATGATTGAAAAGTACAGTCACATGGCTTTAAAAACATGATCGTAACTTTTCTAGTATACACATATTGTATCGTATACACATACGTGAATCAGATCGAAAAGACAACACCGTATGGGTGAGTATACTCTATAGGCCCTTTTTTGCCGATAACCCAGAACCCCTCCAACCCCTCTTGAGATACATTCTACATTCAATGAAAAGCCCCCCATGAGAGCAGATGAATCGAAGTATGACTCAGCTGCCAGCAAATCTACTAGACAAGTTTACTTTACTGTTTTCGTCCGTATCCTTCATTTAGTTCGTACGTCGCTCTTTGTCATCCCGTACCCAATTCTAGCTGCTATGCGGTTGTATCCGCAATGGTCAGCTTGTTGCCTACTGCCATACAGACCAATTGCCATGATCTAGCCGAAGCAGCAAGTTACTGCATCACTAGTTCTAGTAGCAGTAAAATTGGATTTACCAGGGTTTGTGCGACGTGTGGATGGTTTCTGCTTTTTCTAGTTTACTTTTTTCTAAGTATTCGTCGCGGTTGGCGCTGCGGCGCTTAGTTTGCGGTTATAATTCATAATTTACAACGTCAGCTTTCGGTTCTTCTTCCTGATGGCCGCTGGACAGCTGTAAGGGTATTACTGAATAACTGTCTACGTTGCACAGGGACTCCACGACGACGCTATGCCCTCGTAGTTCGATGGTCGGTGTCCATTTGGAGGCGGGAACTTACAATGATGTTAGTGATCATTATTTAACTGTAATTACAATTGTTTCGCTATCTCGCCTAAACATTCATCTTAAATTTTGCTACTGGGGTCCAATGCGATAACGTTGTGATCAACTATATTTCAGCTGATAAAGTAGAATGGCATAGAAGGTTTTTAGTCGTCAATATTTATATTTTAGTTACGTCTCATGCAATACGGAAAGCCGAATAGGTATAGTTCTTCACGATGCGGGTTAATAACCTAAGAGATTTATTAAAAATTTGAAAAAAAACTCATATAGACGGGATAAAGCGCGTAAGTCAGGATAACGTTTGCGGGACCGTTTATCATTACGGGCACGCATCGATTTGTCGATTTTGATATCAGGAAACACAGAATTTTTCTAAGATCAAATAACAAACTCAGCATACTGAAGGCCAACGCGTCGTTTTTGCGCCTTCGTGCTGGAAAAAACAAATCGATTTTTTTTTTTTGTTTTTCTACTCGACATTGACGGTTTACGTTTTTACATGGTTTCTGAAAAATCTAAACAAGGCTTTCATGACACAAAATAGAAGATTTTCAATAGGTTTTAGATTTGAAAAATTATTCAAGATGGCTTCCAAAGGCCATTTTTGAGGTACTTGCATTTTCATTATGAAATTAACGGTCATTTTAGGGAGGAAAATTTCAATCGTTATGTGGTCATCCACATAAGAGGTAACAATTAGTCTCGCTGAGACTCTTGCGGTTTTTTACACGTTCTAGGTTTTTCGGCCGCTTTGAGATTTTGCATTTTTTAGGCTTTTGGTTTGCTATTTTCCCAAACTTTAGTATTTTTGGATGTAGCTTATTCTGTAAATTTATATTTAAAAATATCACCTGACTTACGGGTACTAGCTGGTTTGCAAATTAAAAAACAATATTTTGAAAATAAATAATGAGTGACTTATGTTCCAAATTGAAGCTATGATCTCGGCGAATTGTTGTTATATTGAATAAGCATAGCCGTCAATAATGATAAAACATTTGAACACATGATACGCTCAGGCCCATGTTTTATATATGGGTTTATCTCGGGTAATCACTAATCGCTTCGTATAAAAAGTTCTAACGTGCACCAAACGGTTTCGAACTCACTGACAAAAAAACATCTACAATAATTTTTATTCTAAGGTTATGTTCAGCTTCGGACGACAGTTAATGATGGTCGTTGGCACTCCACGTCAAAAATGATCAATGAGGATACAACCTCGACCCTTCTCGCTCACACTCTCGCGACGCTTGAAACGTATACGTCCGCCCAACGGCCCCATATTAGCTCATATTGAAAACACATTCAAGCCACAATCGAGCAGCTTGTGTCTGGTCGAGCGCTGTGTCATATTTTCAATCAACGACGTTATATGATGGTTGCTGAACACTTAAT